TTTTTTTTTTTTTGGTACCGGGAATTGAACTTGGGCTCTTGCTCTTGTGAGGCAGGCAGTAGAACCACTGAGGCAAACCCCTGGCCCTCAAAAACTTGTTTCTCTTAACTGAAACTTTATACTTTTTGGCCAAAATATTTCCATCTTCTTCTTGGCCCACCCCAGCCTCTGGTAACCACCATTCTACTCTCTACTGTGAGTTTGATGTTTTTAGGTTCTACGTGTTAGTGAGATCATGTAGTATCTGTCTTTCTGTGTAGGGCTTGTTTCACTTAGTCTAATATCTTCCAGGCGTACCCATGTTCTCCCCAGTGGCACAATAACCCTGTTTTCAAAGGCTCAATAGTATTCCATTGTGTTTTATAGCTATAGTTGCTTTAAGTGACCTCCCTGCTGTCATTCTGTTCCTAAAATAACCAATCATACTACCTACTAGTATCATAGTTAATTACATGAAACAACAAAGGTGCTCATTTCTTACAAATCTAGCCATATTTCTTAAAATTGTCACATATAACTAACTGCACAATCTGGTTGGAAACTACCTTTTCAGCTTTGGTGGTGTTCTGTGCCTTGTTCATGCTGTTCTCCTACCTAGAATGGCCTTTCCCCTGCCTCCAGCTGCCCCAGCCCTAGCCATCCTTCAGGACAAAGCTTCTGTAAGTTCCCCAGTCCCAAAATGTGCCAGGCAAAGCTACTTGCTCTCTCTTTCACATACACTCAATAATTCTATAGCCATGTATGCATTTCTGTTCAGCTCAACACATACTAATTAAGAGCTTTTCTCCAAGAGTCCAGGAATCTGTCTGGTACAGGAATACAGACATGAAAAATACAGAGCAGCTGCCCTATGGAAGCTTACAGACTAGGAAGGAAAGATGGCCATGTCATTTGATAAGAGCCAAAATAGTCTAAAAATAATCTATTTCAATGTGTCAGGAACTGTCTGTATATTTGGGTATGTCTGTGTGATTGTGTGATTGTGTTATTGTGTGTGTAGGTGTATACACGTGCCCACTCTTTAATGTTTGGGCACCTAGCATAGCACCTGACTGACACAGTAGGTTTTCAGTAAATGTTTAATACATGAATAAATTGTAAATATAGGCTACCCAAATTTAAAAAATATTAAAATGTGAAGTTTAATCTTAGATGATCAAAAAATAAAATTCAAACTCACCCTCAGAAGGCTAATTCAATTGTGAGTTGGGTTGGCATTAGCAAGTGACCAGAAGAGTCACTATGCTAACAAAAAGTGTGTAAGGCGAATCATTCATCCTGGAATTGTTCTATCCCATCATAAACTCCATCCCATTTCAGTGCAGAAAGGAAATGTGTTCTGGGATTGGGGAAGGTTGTTTTGCATTTTGCATCACATGGGATAGTAACAGTGTTAAATATTGAAGATATAATTGAACCTTCAAAGACCTTTTAGCTACCTAAAAGAGTTCCTCCCCAAGGAGCTTCAGTAACATATACAGCCAGAACTGTTCACAGGCAGGAAGCAAATCTGCTTTAAAAATTCCTCATTCTCACGCTAGCTTATAAAAAAAAAAATCAGAAATTCTCCTTATTGTTCTGGACGATCTCTTTAAAGTATGATATCATATGAGTTTACTGAGGTAACTAGAGGAGAGCCTTCTTTGGAAAAGTACTAAGATGTCACAATTTTGCAAATTAAATCAAGAAAAGTAACTTTTCCTGGCACAGATGAGAACCATGAAAAATGTAGTCTCATTGGATAATTTGTGTGTTGAAATTTCTCCCATCTCCTGCCAACTATTTACAAAGAAGACTTTCGGTGATCTGCTCTGGAGCTTCATCTGTCACTTTCAAGAGTTGCCCAACTGCTCCCAGCTTCTTCTGGGGATGAAAGTCAAGATTTGGAATTCACTTTTTCCCAAAATAGCAGCCACTCAATTGAAACCTGTGCACTTGAGTACTTCAGGCTTAGGAATTTGATCTCACCCTTCAGCTTGAAGCCCCTGAGATAATTTCAGAGTATCTTCATACTGCATGAAACAAATTTTAGATATAATTCATGTTATCATGGTAAGGCTTAAAATATATAAAGAACTCGAAACAGCCAGCTCCCCCAAATATAAAGACCCAGTTCAAAAATGGGCATCTGAAATGAACAGACATTTCTCAAAGAAATAAAAGTAGCAAGTAAATATATGAAAAAATGTTCCACATCACTGATCATTTGAGAGATGCAAATGAAAACAACACTGAGATTTCACCTCACCCCACAAAGAATGGCTCCTATCAAGAAATCACAGAACAACAAATGTTGGCGCAGTTGTGGGGAGAAAGGAACCCTTTCCCATTGTTTGGGGGAGTGCAGACTGGTGCCACCACTGTGGAGGTCAATATGGAGATACCTCAAAGAACTAGTATTATAGGTTCCATTTGACCCAGCCATCCCTCTGTTGGGTATCTTTCCAAAAGAATTAAAAGAATCATTCCACAGTGATATATGCGCACCCATGTTTATAGCGGCACAGTTTGTAATAGCTAAAACTTGGAAACAGCCCATTTGCCCATCAGTTGGAAACTGGATAAAGAAGATGTGGTTTTTCTATAAAATGGAATATTACTCAGCCATAAAGAATGAGAAAGTAGATTCATTCATCGGTAAATGGGTACATTTTGAGGTTATACTCCTAAGTGAAATAAATAAGTTACACATATGTAAATACCGAATAATTTCTCTGGTGTGAAAAACTAAAATAGTACTCAAGATCCTAATGGGACAATTAGCAATGTGAAATAGGAAGAAAAGGACCAAAGGTGTAGGGACAGTGAGAAGGATAGGGAAAGGGGAATAAGGGAAAAGGAAAAAAATATGAGAAAATGTACAAATGGAATTAAAGTGTTTGTAGGTGGGGAGGGGAGGAGGGGGTGAATGGAGGGTGGGGACAAGGGGAGAAAATGAGAACCAAGACCTGGCATGTAAAGGGACAAGATCCCAGGAATGAATGTAACTGTATCATCTACCTAGAATGTACCAATAAATTCAATTTTAAAAATATCTACATGTATTACATAAAATAAAAAAAATTCCCTATAGGAGAAAGAAGAGGAAAGAAAGAATAGAATCAGAAGGAAAATGAGAAGGCAGAGAGAATAATAGTAACCAGGTTAGCAATCATTGGGAGAATTAAATGAAATAATACATATAAAGTGGTGTTCCTAATGCTTGAAACATGGGAACTATGGGAATTATTTGATCTATTATTCTCTATTATAATTATCTCATTAAAAATCAGAGCATAAATTGAATTATCGCCATAAAAAATGCGAGTCACTCTCTTGACAAACTTTTATCTACATTTATTCTGACCATCTGATTCAACAAACTCATATAGATTTATCCTTAAGCAATGTGGTCTCATTTTGATGGCTCCAAGGTGGAAAGGAGAACTTCTTCTTGGCCTAAATAGGTGGAAGGAGATCAGGAAAAACAATGGTCACATGGGAAATATGATGAAAGAAGAAATGACTTTTATCTGATATTGCTCTTGTTCATATTCTTTCTCTTCAGAGAAACCATTTACTGTTGATGTCTTCCCTGGACACCAGGTTGCTGCTCAGCTTGGGGACTCCCTTGTGTTGACATGTAGTGTCACAGATTGTGAGTCTCCATCTTTCTCTTGGAGAACCCAGGGGGACGGCCCTCTGAGTGGGATGGTGCGGAGTGAGAGGACTGAGTCCACGGTGACCTTGAGCTCTGTAAGCTTTGAGAGTGAGGATCAGTACCTGTGCACTGTGATGTGTGGACAGAGGAAAGTGGAAAAGGAAATCCAGGTGGAGCTCTACTGTAAGTGGCTTTCAAAGTTATTATCATTTTCTTTCAATTCTTTTAGAAGAAAAAGAATGTGAATTTGTGGTAAGCAGTGAGACCCATTTGCTTAGAAAGGGGATTTAGCATTGTGAATGGTTCCTTGATCACTGAACCAAATATTTTGAGACAACGTAAATGCTGTAAATCTTAAGTCTGTGTTACACAGGTGCACAACATGCACAAGCCTTAGTTTGCGTCTCATCCGGACTCTCTTATCATGCATTTCTTCGCACTCCATGCTCCCTGCTTCCCATCCCTTCTACTGTACATGAGCGTACGAAGTGGTAAGAACAGTGAGGTCGGTGTCCATCAAATAACTGGACGGGGGACACTGCCACTCAGCTATCCAAATTGAACCTTCCTTTTAGAAGTCGGTTGGAAAGCTGGTCTGAAAGATGGGGGAGGGGGAGGCAATGGGAAGCACCCGAAAGCCAAAAAAAGGAGACAGGAAGTAGACTGGAGATGGGGGTGGTCAACACTAGCAGGTCAGGTTTCTGCCCAGGTAGAATCAGGAGCAACGCCAGATCTTAATATTGATTTAGGCTGCGGGCACATATTACCCGCTTCTTGCTCTTCTTGCCACCTAAGGGAAAAAAAAAAAAAGCCTCTACAACCTCGAATCTCAGTGAATTTGATATTGTCTGGAGTTCTTTGGTCTATAATGAATGTCGAACAAAATACGCAAAGTGATCATGAGATCATTTCTTTGAGGTAGTACTTCTGCCTTGTTTTACTCCGTGAACCTAAAAGAACTTTTTGTAAAAATTTTCCACCAGAAACCCTGCCAGAATGTGTGCTACGTTTCAGTATTAAATTCAGAACAAGAATATGACTGTAAAAGGATTTAAATCTCTTAAAAGAAGAGCAAGTTTTATTGTTTTATCATATTACCCAGAGTTCTGGACTTGATGACATAGGTACATTCCCAAGGGAAATGAGAAGCAGTGGTGAAATCTTATCACAACACGGAAACATTTGAGAACCACAATTTAACATTGCATTGTTATAAATTTAATTGTGATAAAGGAATCACAATTTAACATTTTGCTTAAGGGAAAAATTAGCATTACTGTTACGCTTGATAATTATATGAGCCTCATTTTATTGGTTTGTATAGGATATAGTATAGGTTTTACTATCTGAGGCATGATCAAAATATGTTGAATGTTTACATTCAAAAAACTTTTACAACGATAAGAGAAATATTCCCCTTCATTCCATTCAGAATACTTCCCCTTACTTTGAACACACTTATGCCATTGTTCTTGTCACTTTCTGAAGCAGTTCTGGACGTCCTCTTTCATGCATATCTGTAGTTGCACTGTCACGGCTGCCTCGATGTCCCAAAGCCATCCAAAACATTGACCTTTCACAGTCATTTTGACTTTGGGAAAGAGTCAGAAAGCACACGGTGCCAGATGCAGTGAATAAGGTGGGTGAATACACACAGTAAAATTTTTACAACACTGCCTGTTGGACAGCACTTTGCAATAACATTCACTCTAATTATTATCACACTTCATAAGGACACTCACAAAAGAGGACTTTAGGAGCTGCTTCTGAAAGTGGCAAGAAGAAAGGGGTAAGTGTGTTCCAGACTAGGGGATTATTTCGAGGGGAAGTAACAGCACTGTTTTTCATTACAATAAAGTTTTTAAAATGTAAACCTTCTCTGCATATTTTGATCGCCCTTGGTATAGATTAGATTCTAAATAATTGGATTCTAAATAATACCGTTAAGACAGTTCTTGATTAAAAATATTATCTGAGAAATATTTAACACTTGCTGCCTAAATTTCAACATTAGATATTAAGCTGCCGAAATTGAGAATGCTTGAGCTCAAGGAGCTGCACAGCCCCGTGAAATCAAGCCCAGGTTCCAATGTTAAAAAAAAAAATATTGTGAGCTCAGCTCAGTGACTTACTAGTTGTGATGTGCAATGAAAATTCTCTCAGCCTCTGTCAGTTTCAGTTGTCTCAGCTATAAAATAAGTCAAACAATGCCCATCGCATCAGACATTATTTAATTGAGATAATGAATGTTGAGGGACTAGTTTCTACCAAGTATTTAACACATCGTGAAAAATATTTAAATTATCTAAAATACGTAGTTAATAAATAAGATGGTAGAAGCTGATATATCCTTAGAAAAGACTGGGCCATATGTTCAGCAAGATGGTATCATTAGAAGGGGAAAATAAGAAGAACGTTTTTTACACAGTTACTTAATGTACTAAGTATCTTTTATTTCCAGCAGATTTATAATTAATTTTACAGTTATGTGTTTATACTGAATGGCATTATTTATGCATTGATTGTTCTATCCGAGCTGGTAAAGCTGTCATTTTGAGACCTTTGCATTTAAGAGTTTAGCTCACTTTTTTTCTCCCCTAGGTCATATGGCAATTCTATTTAATTTTGTTTTGTTTATTGTAGAGTTTAGCTCACTTTTTCTCTCATGTCACATCTAAGTGTCATTTTTGCTTGATATTTGCAGCATTCCCTCAAGACCCAGAAATTGAGATGAGTGGTTTACTAGTGAGTGGGGACCCGGTCACTGTAAGCTGCAAGGTTCCTTTTGTGTACCCTTTTGACCACTTGGAGATTGAAATACATAAAGGAGAAACTCTTATGGTGAATAAACACTTTTCAGAGAAAATGGACATAAAATCCCTAAAGAACAAAAGTTTGGAAATCACCTTCACGCCCACCAACGAAGATATTGGAAAAGTGCTTGTTTGTCAAGCTAAGTTACATATTGGTGCAATGGAATCTGAACCCAAACAAAGGCAGAGTACACAGACACTTTATGTCAATGGTAAGTACATGCATGATGTACCCACAGCTTAATATGGATTTCTTTATCATGTTTACCAGGCGATAGTTAACATAAGGTTAATAGTTAAAACCTCTGTGAAAAAAAATAACTGAAAAGAAATTTTAAAATAACTGATTAAATAATTGATGTCATGTAAGGACTACTTATTCTCTTATGACTTTATGAGTTTGCCTTTGGAGACTAGCTAGTTGCTCAGTGTGGTATCAGCTGAGCTCACTCATGCATTCTCAGTCAGGGGGTCTTCAGGGCTGGCTGGTCTCAGGCTGATCATTCATATGACCGGCATGTCCAGGTCCTCCTTTCCTCACCTAGTGTCATCCTCACAGAAGGTAACCTAGGCTTACTCTTCCAGAGCACAGCATTTCAATGTGATAAGAGAAGTGTCCTCTTAAAGGCCTGAGTTTGGGAGGTCAATAGTGTTTGTCCACTCACCTAGGTGAGTGACATATCCAGCCCAGATTCAAGGAGAGAAAAATAGACTCTACTTTTTCATAGAAGGTTTTCAAATAAGCTGTGTTTAATACACCATGAATGGTGTTGCATATTATCATGGTTCATCCATGCTTTGATAGCAAGAGTTTCTACAGGATTTACTTCTATTAGAGAATATCCACACTTTTGTCCATGTCATTCTCCATCTGCTGAAATAAATGGTGTCAAAAACCCGAGATTGATAAGTATTCCAATGAATCAAAAGCCCAGTTTTGCAATTTACTGAAACTTGTTGGAAGTTAGGGTATAAAGTGTGAAGCTAAGAAGTGCCTCTATCGTTTTAGTTGCCCCCACAGATATGACTGTCTTGGTCAACCCCTCCTCTATCTTAGAGGAAGGCAGCTCTGTGAATATGACGTGCACTAGTAGTGGCCTTCCAGCTCCAAAAATCCAGTGGAGCAGACAGCTCAGTAATGGAGATCTACAGCCTCTTTCTGAGAACGCCACACTCACCTTAATTTCCACAAAAATGGAAGATTCCGGCATTTATGTGTGTGAAGGGATTAACCAGGCTGGAATAAGCAGAAAAAAAGTTGAACTAACTATCCAAGGTAAGTAGAGTATGACTTTAAATTATTATTGCTAGTATTTTTTGGTTGCTTTACTTATGAAAAAGTCTTTTTAAAAAAACAGCTTTGCTTTAAAAATGTATTAAGGGTTCTTAAGAAGTTCATTTTCTATGCGTGGAGAGCTCCTGTTTGAACCATACCGAGTCACTTAGGCTGAAATTCTTTTAACCTCAAGTGATACACTAGCTTCAGGAACTGTGCCAGGAGTTCTAGTGAGAACTTCTAGTGAAAGTGGTCTTATGAGACCATGGTTATGGTGTTGAAATAAGGACAGGAAGAGATAGATAAGTACCTGCAAATAATTTAGGATTAAAACCACCACATGGGGCTGAATTAGACACTGAGGAGCAATCTCACAAGATAACTGCCAGTATTTTCTTAGAAGCCTAAGGAGCTTAGGTAGCTTTTGTAAATTTTGATGTGTAAGAATAACACCAACTTTGTTCGCCCTCTTGTTCATCATTCTGGTGGCGTGGAACCACCAGAGTGGATCAAGTCATCAGATATACACCTCTCCTTGAGGATAGAGACCCAAAAACTAACAATGAAACAATTTCTACTTGACACAATGAAGCTATAGACAGTTAGGAGCAAAATCCTGAAGTGATTGATTTGGTTTATCCCCCATTCCTTCCCTTTGGGCCATTAGGGTTACTTTCTTCATCAAAGCTCTCATTTCCTTTGTACCCCTTGATATTACTCCCATTAAAGTATTAGCGATTTACTGCGACCTCATGTCAATGAGAATTGTATTTTAAAAGAAAGATCTTGGAAGGGAAATATACGACCTTAAGAAAAACTTTTAGGTTGAATCTCATGGCACTTTGGCTTTGAAGAAAAAGGCTGAAATGAAGTAAAAAAGTTGATGACGGTAACAGGAATGTCAATTATAAAATAGATAGAATACTTCTCTCCAAGAGTGGCTACATTAATGGAGATGTTGTATGTTGAGGATTTAGTCCAGTTCTTAGAACTTGATAAATAGTTGTGTTGTTAGGACAGTAATGTCTATTTACAGCTTGAATACTTGATCTGAGAGGATCCAGTGGCTCTGTGAAACACCAGTATTTGTGCTAGTCTGAGTAAAGAAGCATATGAAAGAAAATGAAAGAAACATATCTTCTCTTGTTTAGGACATGACCCTTCATGACAAACCAGTAAATGCTTGGCTTACTGAATAACATTTCATGTGAACAGTAAGCACAAACAGCAGCTACTGTTGGTGTCATTACATGTGAAATTACTTTGTAATTTTTATTTACTCAGAGGTTCTTTTAAAATTCTCTTTTCAGTCACTCCAAAAGACATACAACTTACAGCCTTTCCTTCCAAGAGTGTCAAAGAAGGAGACATGGTTGTTATCTCTTGTACATGTGAAAATGTTCCAGAAACTTGGATAATCCTGAAGAAAAAAACAGAGACAGGAGACACAGTGCTAAAGTCTATAGATGGTGCATACACCATTCACAAGGTGCAGCTGGAGGACGCAGGAGTGTATGAATGTGAATCTAAAAATAAAGTTGGCTCAGAATTAAGAAGTCTGACGCTGGATGTTAAAGGTTGGCTTTTTTGGTTTTGTTTTTTTGTAATTTTTTGTAATTGTTCAGAGGTTCATAGGTGGTAGAAAATTTCTAAAATCAGTAGAATGACTTAGAAAAATGAGTGAATTCTGTGATGACTATGTTTATTTCTTAATGTCCCTCAAAACAATGAGGCACAGCTGGTTCCATCCTATAGAGTTTAGTCAGGAAGTTGACATTAATCATTGGTGAACATGTAATTCCCATTTGCTTTTTTTCAGTTAACAATTCATCATTGCTCTCTGAGGTCTTGCTTTTATTATGTTTAAACATACATTCAAAACCTTTCACTGGGAGTTGAAAGGAAACTAAAGAAGTAGGATTGGCACATCAAGAAAAATAATTCCATCCAGATTCACTTCCAACGTGAAGAGCGCACTATTTTCTTTTTCTTTTTTTTTTTTTTGGTACTGGGGATTGAACTTGGGTCCTTGCGCTTGCAAGGCAGGCCACTGAATCGCTGAGCTAAATCCCCAGCCTACACACTATTTTCTTATCATGGAGTAGTAGCTTGTATTTTCTGGGTTGACTCTTTTCAGCATTATTATAAGCAGCAATCTCAATCCTGAGCAACATAGAAAGATCTGCAGAATACAGAAGTTCCTTTAAAATGCATACACCTACGACCATCCTTCCCTTTTCTAATAGAGAGGAAGAGAAAGACAATGATCTCAGAGAATTTCAGGGGCCCCTTAATCACATAACCCCATCTTGTGAATGCTCAGCAGGCAGCATCTGTTGATTTTATTGGTGTGAGCAGAATACATTAACCTTGATTAATCATTCTTATTCTCTGTGCAAACTGATGAGCTCCTAGTGTGGACTGGAAGCCACACTTGGTGGTGAACGCAACTGTAAACGCCAAACCTTAAGAGGCCTAACACTTGACTATCATCAGCCTCTTCTCAATGTAGAGAAAACTTGAACCTATATCAGAAAACAGGAAAACTTTTACTGATCTGGCCAACTTTCTCAAGATTACAAGCCTCATCATATATTTTTCTGCCTTTACGGTACCTCCTCGAAACTTGATAATATCAATACATCCATCTAGAAATGTTAAAGAAGGGGAAAATATCACAATTACATGTAAAAGTTTTAGTCATCCACCTGCAATGATTATCCTGAAAAGAGTTGATCTGGCCAATAAAGTTACTATGTGTTCAAACAAAGGGACATTTACCTTGTATCATGTCACTCAAAATGATTCAGGGGTATATGTAATCAGTGCTTCCAATGAGGTTGGGGATGATTCTGGACGGATTGAGATCTCAGTTATGAGTAGGTTGAACTTCATTCATTCCTGTTTTCTTTTATCCTTGATGTCTCTGGCCACCTTTAACTTAGCTTAACCCCAGGAAATTGAACTCCTATGTTTCTGTAATTGTTTGTAATCAGTTATTCTCTTTTAAAGACATATTCAACTTTCTTCATTGTTTAACTTTCTCTTTCGCATATTGACTTTTCTAATCCTTTACTTGCCACTGTTTCCCCATTATTAAATGAGCACGCAAAGAATATTAGGTACTCAGCTAGAAATTCATGCCCCCAAAGTGAATATGGCTTCAAATATCACTGAAGACAAAAATTCCTGAAATTTTCCTGGATTTTTAAAACTAGCTTTGCTTTGCATTTTGTTGGGTTTTAAATTTGTTTTGTTTTGGCTTCAATGTATTACATTGATAGAAACAGTGAGGATTAGTTAAGAATTTCAGTGTTTATACAGCCAACAAAAATTTTTATTAGAAAAATACCCTGGCAAAATACTCTGCAGATGCTTGAGGGAAAAACTGAAAGGCAAAAGGTAATATTTATTAAATTGAAAAGAAACAATAGGGACAGAAATACCTTTGCATAACATGTTGTCAAAATTGATGCCTCACCATAATTATGATGATTTGTATCCTATTAAAATATTACTCATAATCTTTGACTGACTAAACTCTAGCAAAGGAAAGCAGGAAAATGAGGCAACTGTTATTATATTTAGGGTGAAGTACTTTTTCTTCAATAATTTGAAAAAATTAACTTCATATAGGCTGATACTAATGTAAGATATCTACTTCAGTGACTTTCAGTATTTAGAAAGCTGTAGAAGGAATGCTGTGGTGACCAAATTCAGATCATGAATTCCTGCCGAAAGGGAGGGAACATGCGTGTCTCTTAGTGAAACTCAACTATGAGGTCATACAATGCTGTGCATAGTATAAATAGAAGCTAGTCTTCAGTAAACCAGGTTTCTTCCTCAGATAGTCTCACAGGGTTCAGATGTTAAATAGTATTGCAACTGTCAGATGATTTTTTTTTTTATTTTTCCTTTTTTGAACTGAGGGCCTCACACGTGCTAGGCAAGCACTCTACCACTGAGATACATTACCATCCTACTAATTTTAAAGTTTTTGCAAAGTCACAATTGAGGATTTAGAAAGAAAAAAATTAGGTGGGTTTTGAAAGTATATTGGGATTCTTAATTTAGATGAAGGAACATGTAGATCAGACAGTGTTTCTCTGAGTAATATCTCAATGGAAACATGATAGTATCCAAAGAACTTCAGCAAATCGAGAGAATATAAGTGATGAAGAAAAATAACACATATTATGATGCCTTTAGTTCAGGCCTACAACACACACACACACACAAACACACACACACACACACACACACTCCATAATTAAGAATGCTTTTTCTTAATATTGTATTCATCGTGTTTGACTATTATGGTCATACACTAAATGTTATAAGGATTTTCTTGGAAAACTGATCAGTTACCTCAATTCATGGTGACCAGAACCTCGATACTTTAGATATTCCTAGTTTTCAAAACAAACACCAGCTCCAATTTCTGCTTTTGTACAGGATCCCTAAAAACTTGCACCCTCTCTTCTATTTTCCACCTGAATTGACCCTCTTTTAATTCAAGTTTGTGAATATTAACTGCTGTCATCTTTAGATCCATTAAGACCAATGCAACCACCAGCTAATTATTTGGTTAATTCAGAGAAATATGCATTTTGAGATCTTTTTGGTCTTTATCACACTAATTTGATTTCCTTCTCTTTAAAGAACTAGCTGTGCTGTTACATGAAAACGTGTTATTATTGAACAATTTCTTTTTGTACTAGACATTAATTGCATCTATTTGCTTATTTTCTAGGAAGAGAAAATAACAAGGACTATTTTTCTCCTGAACTTCTCGTTCTCTACTGTACATTCTCCTTAATAATACCTGCTGCTGGGATGATCATTTACTTTGCAAGAAAAGCCAACATGAAAGGATCATACAGCCTGGTAGAAGCACAGAAATCAAAAGTGTAGCTAACATTTGAAATGTTCAACCAGAGACACTATTTATAAATCCAATAATACTGCTCGTCATTCCACAAGAAAAGCAATGAGCTGAGTTCAGACTTCTCAGAACGTATGAAAAACAAAAAGGAAGGGCCACTTGTGCCTCTTTCTGGAGCAAGAAGCCAATAGAAGCCTTAGTGCCTGAAAGGTCACTGCCACTGAGATGAGATGACTGAAAGAGTTTCCCTGATGTGTATATACAGTAATGTAACCTGTACATATGTAAAATAAAATTGGCCACAGCAAGTTTGCTTGGAATAGCAGCACTGTATTCTCAGATCATGAGAGCAACAAATAGTTTTGCTTGGACTGACTGTTAATCACTTAACACATCCGAGGAAAATTTATTCTTAACACTGACTGGCGGCTGACCTAAGAGATTTCTCTAATATTTTCTTTCCTTTAACAAAACTTTATTATTACAAAGTTTATTGAAATAGTTTCATGTTTTATGAAGAAGCCAGGGTTTCATATTTGTATAGGTAAATGATAAAGAGGGCAGCAGATTGGCTTTCAGGTACTAAATACCTTAACCTATGGCACTGGTTGACTGGACTTCTCTGTATGGTACTGGCATGGTACGGAGACGTTTTATATTTGTTCATCAAAATCTGTGTAACTTCATTAATAGAGTTTTTAAATGCAACTTTGTTTCATTTTCTTTTGTAAAGGTGTAGTTTTTTACAGTAAAGCGATCATTTCTGGAATTGGAAGGGTTGTGTGCTTATTTATTATAAATGCTTCCTTTAATTATGTCATAGCTCTTTTTGAAATGCTACTTGAAAGGGTGAAAGCTTCAAACTATGGACAGACATACTCAAAATATGGCCTTCAGATGACTTTTATCAAAGTCGCCATGGGAACTTGACAAAAGTTCGGATCTCTTGGTGTCATCCTAACCTAATGAACTGAGATATTTGGCTTTAGGCCCCTGGACCTTGTAACTTTTCAACTCAAACATATACAGCAGTGATGGCGAACGTTTTAGAGAGCAAGTGCTAAACTGCAACTAACTCCACTTATTTATCACAAAATGCCAACACTGCAATAAAACCTGAATACTGAGGTTTTGGTTGAGAAAATACAACTCAACATTAACACATCTTTTGTCTTAAAAGAAAAACAAGGTAACACGCAGGCTATACGTTTGCCAACACTAATATGGAGTGTACATAAAAAGAGCGAGGCAGACAAGTGTGCACATGCTAGAGGTCAATATATAAACATCTCTACCTATCCTACCAAGTTCCAGAGTCAGACTTTACCAGGGTCTCCCATATGACACAAGCTGGCCTGTAACAAGTGCACACGCTGACAACTCCCACTGAGAAGTAACTGAGAAATATCCCAAATTATGTATTGATTATTTCCTTGCTTTTGTTTTATACCTGCATAAATATTCCTAAGTGACACAATGTTTAGTTTTGCCACATTTTGAGTTTTATATAAATATAACCAAATGATATAATTGCTTTATTCTTTCACTCAAGACTATGCCCTTACATAATTTATTTATCCACGCTACAGATAGATATTTGGATCCTTGCCAGCCTTTCCTATTTATTTATATGTTTAGATTATCATTGATATCTTAAAGGAACATTTTATTATTTTTGTAATCTTGTAAATGTCATTTCTCTTTTAGATTTATTTCTAGGGTGTTTATAATGTTTACACTATTATTCAAAGTATATCAAAAATTATAGTTATTGAGTAATGATTTTCATGCAGTGGAAGTTGTCTCACAATAAAGAAGATTCTATCACTTCAAAATCCCCTCCAGGTCTCATTACAGGAAGTCTCATTTCACCACCACCACCACACCCGTGGTTCTTGGAAAACTTACTTTCTGTCACTATAGCCTTGCCTCTTCTAGAATTTAATATCAATGAAGTTGTACAGCATATATTCTTTTATAACTGACTTCCTTTACTTAACTTCAATGCTTCTGAGATTCACCTATGTTCTTATGTGTATCTATTGTTCTTAGTGTTAGAGTATATCATTTGATGCTCAAAGCAAAAATTATTTATTTATGCTTCAGTTGGATTAGTTGTAGACAATTATGTTGATTATAATTTGAGGCTACTATTAATAATTTGGTACATTCAGATACAAATATTTATGTGCATGTATATTTGTAAAATATATGGGGGAGAGGTACAGACAGAGACCAACCTTTGTTCTATGGCTTGATATGCCAATGCTTATTCCAATATGCATTATGGTAATGTCACACTCCTTATAGCTTTATAGTAAGTCTTAAAATCAGGTGGTCTGAGGCCTCCAATTTTACACTTCAGAAAATGTTGGCTATGCTTTACCTTTTGAATCTCCATATGAACTTTATAATCTGTTTACTAATTTCTATTTAAAACACCCTGCAGAAATTTTAATTGGGATTTCCTTGACTCTACACATTAATTTGGGAAGAATTACAACAGTACTGAGTCTTCTAGCATAGTTATGAAGAACTCTATTTTTTATTTTTCAATTTTTTCATCAGTGTTTTGTTCTTTTCATCATATAGGTCTTATATGTCTTTGGCTAAATTTCAACTATTCCACAGTTGTCAATGCTATTGTAAGTGGCTTTTATTTTTAAATCTCAACTTCTAATCAGTTGTTGCAAATGCATGGGTAGATCATTGATTTTGTATGCTAATTGGGTGTTCTACAAACTTGCTAAACTCATTCAGTTCTAGTACCTTTCTTGTAGATTCATAAGATTTTCTACACAGACATTCTTATGTTCCATGTAAAAGTTTTACTTCTTCCATTTCAACCTATGCATACTCGTCTCCTTTATTTACTTATTGCACAGATAGAAATTATAGTATAATGTTGGAGGAAAAGTGTAAAGAGCAGACAGGATTGCTTTAATTCAAATCTTGAGAGAATGAAGGTCTTTCACCTTTATATTAATTGTAGATTATTTTATATGCTTTCTATTAGGTTGAAAATTTCCTTGTATTCCCTGTCTGCTGAGAAATTTTATCACTAACAGGTGGTAGGCTCTTTAAAGTAATTTTATGCATCAATACAGATTATCATATATTTTCCTTCCTTCCTTTGCTTTAGCCTCCCAGAGTGCTAGTAGTACATGCATGAACCACTATGTCTAGTTTAATTTTTAAATGTTAATAGTTTTCCTTACTGAGATTATCTCATTTGGCAATGATGTGTTTTATATATTTTTGTTTGTTTGTTTGTTTGTTTGTTTGGTTTGGTTTGGTACTGGGGATTGAATTCGGGTCCTTGTGCTTGCAAGATAGGCCACCGAACCACTGAACTAAATCCCCGGCCTGTATTATCTATTTTTTACATTGCTGGATTTAATTTGTCAAAATTTTGTCAAGAATTTCTAGGTTATAATAATAAGGAATATTGATCACTAGTTTCTTTTCCCATAAAATCTGTATCTAATTTTGGTATCAGGATAATACTAGCCTCATCAGATTAATTAGAAAATGTTTCCTACTCAAATTTTATGAAGAGTATCTAAGATTGTATTATCTCTTCCTTAAATGTCTTATACAATTTATTAGCGAAGGCATCTGGGCCTGGAGTAGTTTTCACAGGAACATATTCAAGTATAAATTCAACTTTTTCAATACATTACAGAACGTTTAAACTTCCCCTTTTATGTCAAGTAAGCATTTCTTTGGTAGTTAATGTTTTCAAGAAATTTGATCATTTCATCTCAGTTGACTTTCTTGGCATTTAGATATTTATAGTATAATATTATCCTTTTAATGACCAAGGGATCTTTAATTATAGGCTGTTCCCCATCCTTAACCTTAGCAATTTGTGTGTGTGTCTGAGTGTGTGTGTGTGTATGTGTGTGTGCGCGCACACGTGTTTTTCTCCTTTGATCAGTCTACTTAGGGTTTTATCTACTTTATAGTTCTTTCAAAACAACTCGTTTTTGGTTTGACATTTGTCCACTTTTGGGGGTTTTCTGTGTCACTGATTTCTAGTCATCTTTTTTTTGTGTGTTTGTTTTTTTGAGACAGGGTCTCCCTATGTAGTTGAGACTGACCTGGAACTCACTATGTAGCCCAGGCTTGTCTCAAATTCACAGCGATCCTCCTGCCTCAGCCTCCCGAGTGCTAGGATTGCAGGCGTGTGCCACTACGCCCTCCTTGATTTCTAGTCATCTTTTTTTTGTGTGTTTGTTTTTTTGAGACAGGGTCTCCCTATGTAGTTGAGACTGACCTGGAACTCACTATGTAGCCCAGGCTTGTCTCAAATTCACAGCGATCCTCCTGCCTCAGCCTCCCGAGTGCTAGGATTGCAGGCGTGTGCCACTACGCCCTCCTTGATTTCTAGTCATCTTTATTACCTAATTTTTCTGCTTACTATGGGTGAAATTTGTTACCCTCTTACTAGATATTTGGTGGACAAATTAACCAATAATTTGGGCCTTTCCTCTCCTCCTCCTCCTCTCCCACCCCTCCTTCTTCTTCTTCCTTCTTTCTTCTTTTTTTCTGGACCAGCAATCAAACTCAGGATCTTGCACTTGTCAGGCAGGCACAGTGCTACTGAGCTACATTCTCAGCCCTCCTTTCTTCTTTTTTAATGTTAGCATTTCATGAATTAAATATCCCTGTAAGTAGTGTATTAGCCACATGTCACAAATTTCGATATGTTGTTTTCATTCAACTCAAAATATTTTCCAAATTTCCTTGTAATTTCTTCCCCAGAAAATGCATTATTTTAGTGTTGTAAGTATTTGGGAACTTTCTATCAAGTTATCTTTCTGTCATTTAATTCCATTTAGTTAGCAAATATACTTGTATGACTTTAATGAATTATTATTTTAAATTGTTCAGAATATAGCCTATCTTGGTGAATTTTCTATGTACATTTATAAACAATGTGTTTTCTCTTGCTGTTGGTAGAGAGCACTATAAATTCAGTTAGTTCAAGTTACTTTTTTAGTGTTTTTCAAGTATTTTATAATTGTATTTATTCTTAGCCTATATATTCATTAATCATCAATTCCAAATGACAATAAAGACCTAGCAAAGAGAGCCCAGCAGTCAGGGAGACAGACTGAACAATTAGAGTACACATCCACTGAAAAAGAGCTGGAGAGAGATACTACAATATTATTAATAATAACAGCTCAAACTGGAAACCACCCAGCAGTTCATCCACAGATCAATGAATAAACAAACTGTGGTGTGGTTTTTCTATAAAGTGGAATATTACTCAGCCATAAAGAATGAGAAAATAGATTCATTCATAGGAAAATGGATACATATTGAAGATATACTCCTAAGTGAAATAAATAAGTCACACATGTGTAAATACCGAATAATTTCTCTGGTGTGAATAAACTGCAATAATACATAAGATCCTAATAAGATTACTGACATTGTGAAATGGGAAGAAAGGGGCTAAAGGTGTAGGGAAGGTGGGATAGGTAGGGGAAGGGTAATAAGGGAAAAGAAAAAATTGTGAGATAAAGAAAATATGGAAATAAAGTGTTTGTAGATGGGGAGAGGAGGAGGGTGTGAAGGGAGGGCAGGGACAAAGGGAAAAAATGAGAACCAAGACCTGTCATGTAGAGGTACAAGATCCCAACAATGAATGTAACTGTACTGTATCCCTAAAATGTACCAATAAACTCAATTAAAGCTGAAAAAAAAAACAAACTGATACTTCCATACAATAGTATGCTAAAAAGTTAT